AGGAATTATCTGTAATGGAAGAAAATTATGAAAACTCAGCATCTACTATATTGTGTTTATGCAATCTAAGGAACAAGAAACATTCATTTGGGGCATTGTTCCACACACTTCCAACACAGCGCTGAGCACCTTTAATTAGTAAACCATGCTAATTAAAAGCACCCACACATCATGTGTATCAGTGGCGTAGCACACCTTCATGCTGAGAAAAGGCAGCGGTGTACTTTGAACTAAAGCACACCGAATGTGTTTTAATTCAAAGCACACCACTGCCATTTTCTTAGTGCAGAGGCGCTTTGCATCACTGAACCACAACGTGCAAGGCTGCCAGAGAGCATCAAATTACATGCTCCAGCAGACTCGATTAATCGAGACTGCTCCAATGCACTAGATGTCCAGCGAGTTGGAGCAGGCTCCCCTTCTTGTGTGCAACTGCTCTTGGAGTTTCTTGGCATTGTGAGGTTCTATATTTACTGCTTTTCAACTACCTCTAACTTCCAGCTGTGGCAAGTCAATCTGGGTTTTTAGAACTAAGATTTCTTCTTTAATTCCTTGCATTTTTTTAAACCAACAGAAAATATTTCTGTGATAACTGCCATTAGTTGAGTTTGCCAAGTCTAACTGACTGGGGACAATTTTGGGAACACAGTATCAGTAAATGGAGGAATGAAAGTCAGCCTGCACTCTGCAGGACAAACAGAAATAAAAAGCTGTAAAGGCACATTTATTTCATCACTGCAGAGAACAGATAAGATTTTGAGTTTTCACAAGGAGCACAAATGTGTTACAGATATGTAGTTGCAGTATTTTCACTGTAAAACCACATCCTTTAGTTCCTAGTAGTGACCATGATGTCTGAGCAGCTTCTGCAATATGCTGTTGTGAACTTAATATTGTTGCATTAACATTAGTTTTTTGCATTTAAAAATGAAATGTTTGTCATTAAATTGCCCGTTGCTTAATATATGCACGAGGGTGCTTCAGTGTGGGGGCTGCCTGCTGGCTAGCCGCACACTAGAGCAAACTCGTGCCCCAGCCATCCCTTCTGCAGCATCTTGAGCCAGGTCAGAGCAGCCCTGTGGTGGCAGGCTCACCCCCCAGGCCCTCTGCCAACCAGAGCTGCACTGACTCAGCTCAACATACTACAGTCCCAAGTGCATGTGTAGACATGGTGCCCGAGAGCAATAAACTTTGGTGTGGTAAGTGCTGGATTTTATTGCATTGCATTAATATGCAGATAGTACAAAGGTGCCCAGATAGTGTCATCCATATGCCATTCACCCCTCCCTACCTCAACCTAAACCATGCCAAAGGTGGAAATTGGCAAGGAGGGCATCAAGGATGGGAAAACCTTCCCATGGATTGGCCCCGAACGTGGGGAGTAAAAGAAATCTTACAATCACATTTCCCACCTTATTTCTGAATTGTGCTGAAAGAAAAAGCAATAGAGCTGAGATGTGATCCCATAGTATTTACATCTGACATAAATATGAATAACATAATTGATTAAAGGCTCCTAGTAATGACCCAGTTCAAGAGCTATGTAATCAAAACCCAATACAGAATTTTATTATATAGGATTTTAAAGCATTTCTCATTTGAATCCATATTCTAAATATTTATAATTTTACAAATTACATGTAATATCATATGGACCACAAGTGTCTGGTATTCTGTTCATGGTAACAGGAATATTTACATTTACTTTTCTATGATGCTAAGGCTTAACAGGGCATTATGAATAATATTCTTTTGCTACATCAATGATTCCCAACATTTTTAGACTTATGGCACCCTTCAGAAAATTTCAGCTCTTAGTTCTCACTCACTTTTGACTACAGAAAAACAATAGAGCAAGTCTTCTGTTGCAAAAAACTAGGAAAAACCAAAACAGGTCAGAGTGCTTTTTGCCACCACAGACTCCTATTTGAAACCTCTGGGTTTATCTTGTGAATCATGTTTGCACACATAACAGTGCTAAAATTGTGTGGCACTCTGTGGTACCCTGGTTTAGAATCACTGAGCTACATGAAACCTACCTATTTCCTTAGACACTTCCCTAGTCAGTGTAAATTACCGTAGGAAGCAAAAAGCTGGTTGCTGCTGTCTTAAAGAGCCCTCATGTGGTTTAATGGGTAACTACAATATAACCACAATAAATACATTACGATTGAATCATTATCGAATAGTACCTTTGAGGGTCTTAACTAGTGAGAAGAGAGGTTATAATGTTGGCAGATTGATCACACCGGTGGAACAATTAAAATACTGAAAAATAATGAATGTTTGCATGGAATTACATTCAAATATTCAAAACGGAAAACCTGGAGGTGAAGATTAGGCTTACCTCACCCGCACTATGGCTGCGCTGTCTGGTTAAATGCTGCCGATGAACTAATGCACTAGTGGGCCTGCTACTCTGCAAGGGAAGCCGGGGATCGATGAATGTGGTGGTGCGAGAATTGTGGTCAACAAAAAAAGCCTGGAGGAGGAAAAAAACAGAGCGTTCACTCGATCTGAGCCAACATGCACTGTAAACTAGGCCATTTCTAACTGCACCTTCCCTGCAATAAGCATACTTGCCAGAGGGAAAGCAGCCGTAGGTTAAATACAGAAGATATGGATTCTAGTCATTACTTTAAGAAGTTACTTCATTTGATTGTACCTCATCTTCCCCTTCTGCAAACAAGAATAACATTCCCCAGCTCATAGGGGAGTTATAGGGCTTACTGGCTTAACCCACTAACATTTTATAAGGCAGTCATGTATACTCAGTTGGAAAGCATCACAGAAATGCCAAATTATATCATGGTATAATTGTTCAAGAAGAGAGGATTTTAATTTTTTACAGGAGCAACAGGGTCCAGCAATTCATTTTCCTTATAAGCAGCCAAAAGGAGGTCACTTAAGGGCAACAACATGGCTCTTTAAAAGCTATTTACCTTATGAATATGAACACAAGTGGGTGTGTATGTATTTTAAGCCTATGATTATGGTTCTATGACACAATGTGATTACAGGTTTGTTCACTGTCTTCCTGCTTAAATTCTTCATGGTTTAACAACCTACAAAACTCAGCTGGGGTCGCAGAGAACATACTGCTAAAATGTGATTAAAAATTCAAGACAGGTCCAAGGGTTTCATGGGATGAGAAAAAAAACAGTGAGTCTTGTTTGACTCACCACTTTCTGAAACAGGACCACACGATCATGAGGAAACTCAGAAGCTGCAGTACAATTAGAGCAAAAAGTCTCTGTATTTCAAGATTAAAACTTGTTCCAGTTTTAGTGTGGCTCTGGGGAAACACTTCCTTGCTATTCTCATGCTTTTGTGAGCCTTTAGCCATGGTGAAAAAAACACAGAGCTATTTCAGAAGAATATTTAAGTTCAGGGAGAAGGATTTACAGCAAAACAAAACACTGAGGAAGAAAGGAATATAAATCACAAAGCGGTTAGTGTGGCTTGTTAATATTACTGCTATTTTTCTATGCTTGAGAGGCATTCAAACACGATGCTTATGAAAATAGATAGGTAGACACTAAATCTATTCAATCTAAATCCATTAAGTGTGAAGACCTGCTTTTTTTCCCCGCCTTCTCCTGAGTTGGCAATTTGGGTCTATTGAGAAGAAACCAGTTCCTCTTCTGAGCAGTATGAAAACAAACAGACAGAAGAACAGATGAGTTATACCAGTGCAGAGTGAAGCATTACTGTTTATTATAACAGGGATCAAGGTACAGCCGGGCAGGGGGTATCACTGATGCAAGTCAATGCAGCAAGGCACTGCTCACGTAGACTGGGGGAAAAGGGGAGATTCTGGGGCCTGCCCCATGGCATGGAGCCTGAGCAGTGAGAGGCCCAGGAACAGCACAGAAGTTGGACACACTTGATTTAGCAGAATGTTTCCTGGGTAATAAACTGTAAAACGTGTTTGATAACTGCAACGTGTTAATAGCAATCTTTGAGCTTTACTGAGCTTTGAGCTTTTGCATTTGGCAGAGTCCACTTTTGCCAAACAGTGATGTCATTTGTGGCACCAGTAATGTAGAATCCAGGTATTATAGAAGTATGAAAGCAAAGTGAAAACTGTTTTAAAATCTCAATGCTGGTCTTAGAGTGGTGGGGTGGCTGCTGTTGAATGGACCCAGGAGTCTTAGGTGCTTATGCTCCTGGTTGATGCATTTACTTTTCCCTGCTAGCAGGTACCCAGAAATATTTTGAAAACTCCACTGTCTAATATTTTATCTAATTGGATCTACCAATATTGTAAAGAAAGTAAGTCAACTTTCATTAGCTCAAAGTCTGAGTTCAACAGATCAACCTTATGGTATAGTAGAATTAGAAAAAACATCAATAAAAATATTGATTCAACAGAAAAGAGAATTCTGCTTGGAGTCATATTGCACAAATCTCTGACTTAATGTGGCAATCTAACACAGTATGTAATACTTTTTCATGCATACACTTAAATAAGATATGCTTAAAGACTATATTAAAAATGATCACATCTTATTAAGCATGAATGTTTGTAGGCATGCCAGTGGCAACCTACCATATAATAAAGCATATATTTACTATACTGAAAACCCATTAAAGAAAATCATTGTAACTTCAAAGCTCAGTTAATCTGGATACTGAGATCACAGCTAGAAACTCAGTCTAGCACAAAAAAGAAAACTAAATCTAACATTATGGAAATTCCCACCACTGCTCTGAAGAACAAAATTTACAACGGTTAGACAGAGTCTTGGTACCTTGGCTTGGCCAAAAGCTACATGGATATCACCAAGCCCTATAGCTGTTTAAATAAAAAAATAGCACTCTAAGTAAAAAGCTGTGAATGCTCATTAAAATAGTTTAATTCTGATGTTTTTCATTTGTATAATATTTTATAATATATGCACACAAATACACACAAGAAAATAGGAAGTAAAGTATTTTAACAGGCATTACAAATATGTTCAAGTTAATATCCATAAATATATTTAATGCATCTTTAAATACGTTAAATCTAACTGCATTATACATACATATATATCTGTATGTGTGTGTGTATATGTGTGTATATATACACACACATATATACACACACACATATGTATACACACACATATATACACATTTACACACATGTATATACACACACATATATACACACATACACACATATGTATACACACACATATATACACACACATACACACATGTATACACACACATATATACACACACATACACACATATGTATACACACACATATATACACATTTACACACATGTATACACACACATATATACACACACATACACACATATGTATACACACACATATATACACATTTACACACATATGTATACACACACATATATACACATTTACACACATGTATGCACACACATATGTATACACACATATATACACATTTACACATGTATACACACACACATATGTATACGCACACATATATACACATACACACATATGTATACACACATATATACACATTTACACACATGTATATACACACACATACACACATGTATATACACACATACACACATTTACACACATGTATATGCACACGTATACACACACATGTATATACACATTTACACACATGTATATACACACTTGTATATACACACATACACACACGTATATACACACACGTATACACACACACACACACACACATGTATGTATACACACACACATGTATGTATACACACACATGTATGTATATACACACATAAACACATACACACACAGGTATACACACATACACACAGGTATACACACATATACACACATATGTATACACGCATATGTATACACACATATACACGCATATGTATACACACATATACACATATACACACATATGCATACACATATACACATATATACACACACATATGCATACACACATATATACACACATACACACATACACACACATGTATGTATACACACATACACACATACACACACATATGTATGTATACACACATACACACATATGTATACACACATACACACAAATGTATGTATATACACACATATACACACATACATATACACACATATGTATGTATACACACACATCCACGTATGTATATACACACATACACACGTATACACACATATGTATGTATACATACACACGTATACACACATATGTATGTATACATACACATACACACACATATATACACACACATATGTATGTATACACACACACATATATACACACATATACACACATATATACACACATGTATGTATACACACATATATACACACATACACACACATCTGTATGTATACACACACACATACACACATATGTATGTACACACGCATATACACACACATATGTATGTATACACACACATATACACACACATACACACCCATATGCATGTACACACATATACACACACATACACATACGTATATACACACACATACACAGGCATATGTATGTATACACACACATATATATACACACACATACACACATCTGTATGTATACACACACATACACACACATATGTATGTACACACGCATATACACACACATATGTATGTATACACACACATACACACACACACACGCATATGTATGTACACACACATATACACACGCATATGTATGTATACACACACATATATACACACATACACACACCTGTATGTATATACACACACATACACACACACATATATATACACACACATATGTATGTACACACACACAAATGCATATGTATGTATACACACACATATATACACACACACGTATGTATACACGCATGTACACACATACACACACATGTACACACATACACACATGTATGTATATACATACACACATACATACACACACACACACACATATATATATATAAAATAAAGCATGTGTATACATACGCACACAATACTCAATTTGACTGTCTTTAAATAATAATGAATTCAACAATTAAACCATAAACAATCACTTTACTGTATGAAAAGTTTTAATACAAAACATATGTATATACATTTACATGTATTCCTGACTCTACACTATCAGCCTACATATGTTGTGAGAGAGGGAATACACAAACACAGATACAAAGATGCTTTTTAGTTCAGACCCCAAGATTTCAGAAGTCCTGTGTATTAATCTCCACAGAGTTCAATCAATGTACTTCAGTTCACAAACAAACAGAGAAGAGAGGGAGGATAACCATTTGGGAGTAGGGGCAGCTTCTTCTCTTTGCCCCATACATGTTTACTCTGTGTTGCTTTTGAAATCAACTTTAATGTATTTGTAAGTTAGTGGGCAACTGAAAAATCATGGAATGTGTCTTAATAGCTGCACAAGAGGATAAAGGTGTGTTCATTCTGAGCATGAGAACTAAACCAAATGGAAGAAATATTTATGTATTGTGGTATAGCCAGAAATCTCTCTCCCTCTTTGGCCAAGCAGCGCAAGAAGCGTTGTATAGTTCAGTTATTCCTAAACTAGGAAAAGGAATGGGAACGTGATGGGATAATATAGGAGAAAAAAAACCCATAAAGCAGACTAAAGTAACTGATTGCCACTTTACAGTAGGAAAAAACTTTTTTTTACAATGCTGGATCCAATGCCCAATTTCAGCACACAGGACCAGAAGGGGCAGTGCCAGGCCCCAGTGTCCTATCCTGGTGGGAGGGAGGAGGCTGAGAAGTGGGCTGCCAGCCCCCAGGATTCAATCCCAGTGCAAGGGGAGTACAAAGGGGCAGCACCAGCACCTGAGGACCCAATCCTGGCACATAGGGGGCAAAAGGAAGTGGTGCCATCCCCCCCAAGGCCCAATCCTGGTGCACAGGTAGCAGCGGTCCTGAGCCCCATCCTCTATCAGGCCCACAGACTCTCCACCTAGCCTGAAGACAGGCCCTGTGCTACCCACCTGGTCTTAGAGCCAAAAGGTCGAGCACCACTTGTTTAGACAGATGTTTCTGTCTTGAGAAAGGGGTTCTATTAGATGACTTCCAGAGGTTCCCTTCAAGCCCTATGATTCAATGATTTTTTTTATTCTCTTAGTTTGTTCATAGTGCTAATAAAAATTTATTTCTCATCAAAACTCATATCTCTATTATTTCCTCACATTCTAAATCTATATAGGCTTATTCCTTCCTACGCTCCTGCAAAAAGATTAAGAAAAAATCCTGGGTAATGATACCACAAAAAAGGCCACTGCAAACTGTAACTGGTCATCCTAGCTTTCTTTAATTTTTTTAATTTTTTTTTATAACTTTGAAGATGATACGACCGCATTTAATACAAAGTCATATAAAAAGTAAGTTTAATTTTCCTGTTTTCAACAGGACCCAATAATACTTTTCTACAAATAAAAAGAAGCACTTCCAATATCCCATTAACTTAAAGTAAGAAAAATTTATGTAGAAACCCAAGAGAAAAATTAAACTGCCCCTGGCTGAAGAAACCACAGCATAACTTTACTAATAATGAATGTTTCTCATCCAGTGAATGGTCATTTAAAAATAATTAAGACCTCTATACATCAAACTCTAACTTTAAAGTATAAAAAGTCTTGCAATACAACCACCCAAATCAGTTATTAGTTGGCAAACTATCAACAAACACTTTCTATCAGTATGTATTGCCAGTCTTAAGCCCCATGCAGCCCAAAACTGATCTAATTCCCAAAACTAATCTGGTCTAAATGTATTATATTTCTTCTGAGAAGCTGATCATTACTGGCTGTATGTAGTACTTGGATGTTCCTTCAGGGACATCAGGTGCTGTTTAGGAAAACAAATATGGTGGCAATAAATTCTGTTGGAGAGATTTTGGGGAGAAAGAAATTGAACCTTTATAAAAATCAAACCAACATGGCTTAATAGATTTTAAAGTTGCAGAAAAAGCACAAAAGCATAATAGGCCAGTGTGAACAGGATAAAGTCCTAAGAAGCCAACAGAGCTACATGCATTTGGCAGAGGATTCTACCTTTCTACAGTTTGGGTATGTGCAGATGTTCACCATACCTTATTTTAAGCCATGTAATTGTAGATCGGGAGTGACATGTGCAAACATTTGTTGGTGTGGGAGCCATGCTAGGAACGTGGAGTAAGTCACGGTAGGAGGAGGGATGGGCAGGATCAGAAGGCAGCAAGGGACTAGTGAATTCACAGTGGGGTTTGGTAGGTTGAGGGAAGAGGGGACTGATAAGTATGTGGGGGGATGGGTCTGCAGGGGGTGGGGTCGAGGACTAAAAATAGCCCGGTCAGAGTATGGGGGTGAGGTGGGAGTCTAAAGAAGAGCCGAGTCCAGGAGCTGGGGTGAATGGCTGGGTTTTCCCCGCCCCAAGGCCGAACTCCAAACATGTGCAGACATTTACTAAATCAGGCTAACCCATTCCCAATCTAATTTAGATCAGTCCCACTATTTTTTGCCCAGTTAACCTCCTCGAACATCTGCATAGTTTGGCATTTAAAGGGACCTAACTCGAGTACCCTTCTCAATAATACTCCCTCAGTACAGACAAGATATATCATTCTGTGCAAGGCAGGAGGAAGGAAAATGGCCACAGTAGCACTTTCTCTATGGGAAAGATTAATCATTTCTCTAGTTGTCTCCACCTTGGCTTCTTTTAGAGCAACTCTCAATTTCATCAGTATAGAGACTAAATCCAACCAGACTTCTATTTGCATTCCAGTTACCTTGCCCTGATGGTCATGTTTCATTTCCCAGCCTCTTGGCAGCTCCAGCTGTTTGTTAGCAAACATATTAAGGAAGCCCACCAGATCACGATTATGCTGGTAGCGCTCAAAATGGTGGGTGTCCCGCCGGACTTTGGTGATCATGTGCTTTAAACACGTGTTGTTTGTAAACATGCGGTAGGCACTCTGAAAAATCCATCAGAAAAATAAATACATTTCTGAAAAGAAAATCAGAATTAAATATCTATATAGGAAGGCCATTAGTCGAACAATTAGAATCCATCCATTCTAATGAACAGACAACAGCTTGAGACCCAATCTGATGCAGTCTCCAGTGAGGTTAACAGAAAGATCTCTACCGAGTTCAATGTTGTCCAAGAGTAATACCACTGAAGACAAATGGCCTGCTCATGCATTTAAAGTTATTAACGCACATTTGCGATTTGATAAACTGGACCCTCAACAATTAAATCAATGCTTATATATCTATAAAGCTCATATACTTTAAAGGAAGAAAGGTAGAATAGTTAGCCCTTATTAAGTGAATTTGTCCTAATATATTTTATCAGAAATGATTTATTCTTGTAGGCATTTTGCAAGACATCTACATTTCAAAAACACCTAGCCTTTTCTTACTGATAGAGGCAACCTTTTTAATGTAAAAGGATGGCCTGTTGCTCAGATAAACCTTAATTAAAACACCTCCAGCTAAACAATGGTAATAGAAACAAAATTGAAAATCTTTGTTATGCATTCACCCCAATGAAGTATAGAGTGCATCTCTTAGCACTCCATTCACCTCACTCACATCAAGCACTGAGACTGCTTCTTCTGGCAACAAAGTTGTCTCAATTTTAGTGACTTTACAGTGCACTCCTAAGCATTCTCTTAAGGATGGTATATCAGGAAAAACTAGAAACCATGGCATACACAATGAAACTTATTAATAAGGTGTATGACAGGGTGGTAATATATTCCTCTTGGAAACTCATCAGGGACTTAAGCCAACACTGTTTCCACCTACTGGATCTTTAAAAAGATATAGGCATGTTTGATTATGGCTTTGAATAACCAAGAATAAAATATGGAAATGTAAGAAAGAAAACAAAAATTAGGTCTCAACTGTGGAGCTAAACAGAATGGTTGGCATGCACACAAGCAAACATACATCATAAAGCAAAATTAGCATTGTTCAAGAATTTTAAAACCACTGAATTATTAACAGGGGTGTAGGTTGTAGCTGTGTTGGTCTAAGGACATAGGCAGACAAGAGCACACACCAACTGCTGAAACTTCCTTAGCCCGACGAAGGGTTTTTGAACTCGAAAGCTTGCTTAATAACTATTCTCCAACTATTTGGGTTGGTCTAATAAAAGATATCAAATTCACCCAAGTAACCTTGTCTGAATTATTAACAGGAATTTATGCAGAAAATGAATTATTCATTATGTTATTTCTATTTATGCTACATATCTTATCATACTAATTAAAACAAACAATCCTGTAAAATTTGAAAGCATTTTAGGTGACACTCATCCCTGTGCAAAGCCACTTCATAAGGCACATGCATCACTAACATCTTCAAAATGGAGAGAAATAATTAACCATCTTAATCTGAAGTTAAGCAGAAGGCAAGGCAATGTGGCACTTTATAGACTAGCTTGTTCAGTGAGACACGAGCTTCTAGTATGCTGTAGTGTCTAGTAGGCATAGATAACTACATAAGCACAGCATCTACTAGCATCTAATAGGCTGTAGGCCACAGAAGCTCATGCTTATGAATGAGTTAGCCTAGGGCTGTCCAACTGGTAGCCTGTGAGCAGCTAGCATGTGCCCTATGGGCCCCTACAACCACTTCTCCTATCAACATGCAGTAGATGAAGTCCTAGGAAGGAACTGTGTGCTGCCACTGGGAGGGGGGAGGCAGGGAGAGGGAGCATGTGCCACATGTGCAGCAGGGTGCCATGCACTGTTCATGTAGCCCACTTCAGGGGAGTAAGAGGGAAGGGGGATTCCTGGGGGCCACAAGCTGTCACCAGCTCTGCCCACATGCTGTGAAGGAGATGCTGGGACCCTGCCCCATACAGCATATGGCCTGTGTGGTAAGTAGCCACTGGCTGCACCAAAGTTAAACAGCCCTGAGTTAGTCTATAAGGTGCTGCATAGCCCTGCCTTCTACTTATCTTCAAAATAGTGTGACAGAACCTTGTGCTGGCCCTGTGCAAGGTGTGTTATTCACCCTTCACAAGTAGGTCACCTGTTACAAGGAACATATTCTGCATGTAGTATGACTGGATGAATAATTAAGACAAAAGTAAATACTGTAAAAGCTGCAATGCCTCCTGGGGAACCTATGACAGCACACTCAGTTGCAAAGGAATGCACTGAACAGTGAGCTTTGATAAACCTTCCTGTATGCCAAGGCATATTGTATGCAGGCCTATCTGTAGACTGTAGGCTGAGATATGGCAGAGACTTATTTGTTTGCTACTTCTTTGCTACTCTATATGCCGTATAAAGCCATATATGTTCTTCTGCATACAGAGGTGAAGATATAAGGCCAGTATTTACAACAGATTCTACACCAGTAGCTGATAATGTTGTAACTTACATTGTGGATAAAATATGAAATTAGAAAGTAGCTGAAATACCACAAAACCACTGGGCAGAAATGGCGTATATGATCCTTAACAGTGGTTACTATAACTATGGAATGAAATCAAATAAAAATATGGTTCACTACTGTATTACTCCGTTTTCCTGAAGAAACTGTAGCGCCTTGGCTTTCTATCAATAAATGGAGTTATTCTGGCCTAAAACAAATAGCCACTGCAACTCCTTAAGCAGAAATGAAGTTAAAAAATCCTGATCAAAGCTTTATCTTATCAGCTAGCACATACCATCAATTTTGGGGGGTTTGATAGGCTGTGTTACAAGGCTAGAAATACTTATTGTTATGGAGTTCATCACCTTCTTCGTTGTTTTATATCTTAACCTCAACAGAGAGGCTTATAGATAAGAATACCAAGATTTTCCCATCTTTACAAATGTACATTTATCTTTCCTTCTCATGCCCTTGTCCTCACGACAAGGTATTTAGCAGAATTTGCAGATTTACTGGAATCTGACATGGCTGCACTGTGAACGCTTCTGCTATAGCCTCAACTTACAACCTCTGGATTGTCAACCAGGTGCTTTGGCACCCACACCATAACCCCAGCCCCCTGTACATTTATGGAACTGCTCATCTCTACATGCTGTACTTACAGGGTTAGAATGCAGCACTGGAAAGAATTCTGGACTGATAAGAAATTTCACAGGAGGAGACTGTAGCAACAAAGTAAGCCTGGACCTGGAGGTAGAGTGAGGCAGCACATTCTCCCTTCGAAAATCTAATTAAAAAAAAAACACAAAAACTTCTAGTAATAACTTTAAGAAAGCCTCATTACAAACAACTATACAACTGTATTGATTTGTGTCATGCAGTGTGGCAACTTTCAGGTTATTTAAGTATTTCTCTGCACAAGCATCCCATATATAATTCTAATATATCTGTGAATGCTTGCTGCAGATATCTGAGTTTTCTGGGGTAAGTGTGTTAGACAGTTGTCCATAATATATTTTTAATTGCTTTCAGGTTACCATACGTCACCCTAAAAAATAATCAATCAATAAACAGTGGTATTTGACATATCATAGCCATATTTCTACAGATAAATAGACAGCAGATAACCATGTTTTGTTAGATAGCATCAAGTGGTAACTACATATAAGTGGTATTTTTAAATGCTGAACAATGTGTATGTACAAATGCATATAAAAGTCATTTATTAAATGTTTCAAAGCATTTCAATGTTTTTAAAAACAAAAACAAAAAACATTCCCAATAACCCAACCTGGTCAGTCATGCAATATTTGAAAAAGTGCTTACAAAACAGAAGAGAGAAAAGATTTGTTAAGGAAATAAGTTTCAGTTTCACCTTTCAAGATGGGTATGATAATAATTTGGCTGTTCTCTTAGCAGTTAAGTACACTGATTTCATGTACCAATGGGTGGAAGAACCAGTGACCAACCTCACTGTGGAGGGTAAATCTCTTGATGTCATTTGACAGCTTTTGCTACTTGGGTTTTAT